ACTTGTTCGCAATCTGCAAGCGCAGTGAGATTTGTTATTTCTCGTTTGTCTTCTGGTCGTTGCATACGTATCTTCTCAATACGTTTGATGGCCACTTCTCTTCCATCTTTCTCGTTGATTCCTGCAAATACAGCACCAAATGACCCGCATGCCAAATGGTCTTTGTGGTACCAGTATGGCTCTAGCTGCTTACTTTCAAGATGCCTGGCCACTTTTTGCAGTTGGCGTTCGTGACTTTTGGAAACCGATTTCCAGTTCTTAWTTTTTWCTGGAAATTTATCAAGATCTATAGGCTCCTTTAAAAGTTCTATGAGCGCAGGACACTYKGCTGCTATTTCTAAACAAGTCTTACCTGTTGTATCAGGYATTCTATAATCAGCTCCSTGGRCCCGTAGCAGTTTTGCCAAMCTCCAGTGGACAGTAGTTTGGATTTCATCTWCAGRTAAMRCCTTTGAWACTTCTACGSTATTCCTGCAGCAATAATGAAGCGGRGARTCTTCATTATCATTTCCATTCACTGGGCATTTAGTSGAACTCAGAATCWTTTCAGCGRCATCTTTTTTCCAATGTACATTAGGTAATTTGTCTTTGCAAATTGTAGTCAAAAGAGAAAATAACACCAAGGGATAARCTGTGTTKTWCTYGTCACAAGCAACATCTACGAGAGCTCTRGCAAGGTYWTGGCACTCGGATGTTATGAGTACGCTCARAACASATTCACCGTGTCTGTCAGCAGTCCATGGATTAAAGCCTTTCTTAAGGGCAGTCCTCCAGAACTCAGTGTCAGAAGCCATCAAAATATCAGGAAACAATAAACCTCGATTATAAACAGACTCGTTATTTGTCGCTGCAGCAAGGAGGGGTGTACGKCYTGATRAATCCACATCGTTAGGGTTCGCTCCAGCRTCGAGCAAAAGTTSAACAGCAGTCCARGTTCTACAGAGATGTAGAGGTGTTTCCCCATTTTCATTTTTGACATGTAGAAGTGCTTTGTTTTCTYTAAAATGATCCAAAATCRTTTTTAAAAGTTCATGGAMGCTATAAACTTCAGTAACAGRACTCGWATAGTCTTCATCCAKTGGTAATTSGAGCTTTGCCCAGAGGTGAAGTACCGTGTTTCCATCCTTATCTTGCGCATTGGGAMAAACGTCTTGTCTCGTGTATGCATTTAGAAATACTTTCGCTAGCTCTAGGGCGACCTCAGAAATCYCTTTTCTCARTTCAWAATTACGTTTGAAGAAGCMATGGTGGAGAAGKTTTATGRTTAAGTGTAACACAGACTCTTCACTYCCAGTTTTTGCTTCAACACTSGAYCCATGTTCTACCARGAAWCGACAGACAGCTGCTTGTGTCWYRAYAGCWGGMMAAGSTTCTTCCTCTCTGGAMATSTTSTCKATKGTMYTGGWTARRCAATATAAAAGTGGCGTTTSGTYTTGRTGATTCGTTAKGTGGAAYRATRCATTWARYTTCYCKAGCWGTTYRCATAYTTYCATRACAGASTCTYGTGTYACACCATRAAATGCTAGTTGAGTTGCATGGTGAAGASMRGTGTTKCCATCTGAATCTGTGGTGTTAGGGTTGGCACCCAATTTGATAAGACGTCGAATCACTTCARCTGCTGCTCCGGACCCAATCAGTTGTTTATCGTGGCTTTCTTCATGGATCATGGTGGAGATCTCAATTATAGTTTTGCGTTTTCCCACRGGAAACAGGACTTGAAAAATATTGTTTGAAGCATATTCCTTTGCCAACGTYATTAGCTTAGAAAGAGAACCCACGTCGATATCACAAGAACCAGGCTTGAAGTACAATGTTTTACAGAATGCAACACTCACTATAGCCTCAAAAATCATGTCTCTTTCTACGTTTTTGCGGTCAGTCAGGAATTTGAGTCCATCGTGTATGTTTGGAGTTTTTTCTGATGAACAGAAGATGCATTTCTCGATAAAAAATGTCAAAACACTGCAATTCTCATTGAGATGTAAAGTGGCTCCTTTGTCAAGCAAATACTTCGCAAGGGAAAGTGATTGTGTCATAGCGTAGAACAGTGGCGTTCTGCCATAACYATCTCTCACATCCACTTGAGCACCTCCATCCTCTATCAGCATGCGTGCCATGAGACAGGCTTCATCATGACTGATTAAAAAAAACAAAGCAGTTTTMCCCTCATTATCAGTTATGTTGACATCCGCACCAAATCGAATTAGATTTTCTACCATTTTTGCATTTTCTTTCTGTACAGCATAAAACAAAGCAGTTTTGCCATTTTCATTGGTAGCATTGACATCAGCACCACACTCGATTAGTTTTTTCGCAATTTTTGCAGTTCCTTTTTTTACAGCATAAAAGAAAACCGTTCTGCCTTTTTTGTCGTTTGCGTGTATATCAGTACCACACGCGATTAATTTATCGACCATTTTTTCATTTTTTTTTTCTACAACATAAAACAAAGCAGTTTTGCCATCTTTATCCGTAGCATCGATATCAGCATCAAATTCGATTAATTTTTCGACGGTTTTTTCATTTTCTTTCTCTACGGCATAAAATAAAGCAGTTCTGCCTTTTTTGTCAGTTGTATTGATATTCACACCACTCTTGATTAATTTTTGGAGCATTCTTTCATTTTCTTTCCATACAGCATGAAACAAAACAGGTATGCCTTCGTTATCTTTAGCGTTGATATCAGCACCACACTCGATTAATTTTTCTACAATGTTTTCAGTTGCTCTTTCTACAGCATAAAATAAAGCAGTTTTCCCATCTTTATCCGTAGCATGGACATCAGCACCACACTCAATCAATTTTTCGACCATTTTTTCATTTTCTTTATCTACAGCATAAAACAAAGCAGTTTTGCCGTCTTTATCCGTAGCAT